GAAGGAGAGTGTGGAGGCGCCCCCTGAGGTGACAATGGTGAAAGCAAAAGACTGTCCTCCGCAGGTTTGTCGGGTGCCTTTCATTGACAAATTTTCTATTAAAATCTGTATATTTAGTTGTATAGATTTCAATAGGTCAAGTTTCACAACAGAAGCAACTTCTTATTTATAGCATTCTGTGAGATAATAAATTCATTGTAATGATTTAAAATTGTCTGATATATGTTGTACCAGAGTTTCCCCCCAAAACTGGAAAATTAGTATAAGAGACAAAATATAGCAATTTATATGAACTATGTTTCCAACTGAAGGAATTTTTTTGAGAACTATTTGCAAACCTCAGGATTTAAAAATAAAATTAGGTTTTTAAACTTTAAATTTTAATTGAAGTATAGTCAGTTTACAATGTTGTGTCAATTTCTGGTGTACAGCATAATGTTTCAGTCATACATATAGTTACATATATTTATTTTCAAATTTTTCACTATAGGTTGCTACAAGATACTGAATATAGTTCCCTGTGCTGTACAGAAGAAACTTGTTTATCTGTTTTATATACAGTAATTAGTATCTGCAGGTTTTTTTAAAAAACCAAGTTTTGAAGCAAAAGAATTCTTTTAAATTAATTATTTCTATGACCTGCTTAAACTGTGTAATATAAATTGTTAGTCTGGAAGAACATATCTCTGTACCTAATTCTCATGCATGGAAGGAAAATTTGGAATTTAAGGAGCTATGATTATATTTTACTCAGAATATTTTTCTCTTGAAAAGCCAGCTGCAAAAGGTAAATGCTAGTAATTTCTTATCTGATTGTATTGATCTGTTCAGAAATCAGAAATGGACAAACAGGCCTCAAACTCTATTACCAAGAAGCGCCTACCACCGTCGCAGATCCCATGTTATAAATGGTCATCTTCTCCGACAAGCAGGTGGCGTCCGCCATCCCCCATCAATGCTAATAAGTAAGTAGCTTATTTGCAACTGTTCCTGATAGGTATTTTACCAGCATAAACTTCACATCAGTGTTTCAGTAGCAACGTGTAGTATGCATGGTAATGTAAATATAAAGGGAAAAACCTTTAAAATGGATTTACCTTTGTCTATAAAATGTCATTATATTATAATATCCAGATATTATGTTTTATGAAATGCTATACTAAAAATTAGCATGTATTTGTTACAAAATCATAACAGACTTCCTTCATTTCTCCCAGGAGGCAAATCCAAAAGAATCGCCCCCCATCACCTTCGCCCGTCACTTCAAAACCATCAACACAGGCTCCTTTTTCTTATAAAGTAATTCCTGTTCCGCGTACCCTATTTGCACAAAATGCATCAGGTACTATTGGAATGAAAAGTGAAGCCATTTCTAACACCACTAACAACTCTGAGGCTGCGAGCCAAAATGGTACGATCTGTGAAGGTAAGAACATTCACTAAGAAGTTAATTTCTGCAACGGAGTTTGGGAATGGTCAGCTTCATTTTATTCCCCAGTTCAGAGAACTTCAGGAAGCGAGCTTTCTTCTGAATAAAGAGAATTTCACCAGTCGCTGGCACACTGCTTGTTTTTTCTTGCCGGAACTTCCTCTTACCCCCATTTTTGGAACTGATGTTAGAAGTACGGGTTGGATGAGCGCCGTGGTCTAGGCGCTCCCTGCAATTCTGACCGTGGATGGCCCTAAGGTATTTTCCATCCTTGGAGAGAGCACATCCAGCCATTTGTGGCTGAGCGGGTTTCCATCAGGAGCTGTAGGGCCATTTCCATACATAGGCCATAACATGGGTCAGGCCAGTATGTGGGTTCCTGAAAGTACCATATTGGTATTTTTCTGGTCACATGCATTCTTTTTTCTTTTACATTGAAGTATGGTTGATGTACAGTGTTGTGTTAGTTTCAGGTGTACAGTGAAGTGACTTGGTTACACACATATATATCTGTTCTTTTTCAGATTCTTTTCCATTTTAGGCTGTTACTCATATGTATTTTTAATATCCATGGACATAACTTAATTTTAAATACACTGGGGAATTTTGCTTTTTGAAGGAATTCCACAGTGAATTTTTTGTAACAGAAGCAACCTTTTTATTATAAATTATTTTAGATGTCTTGAAATCCTCATTTTGATGTATAGTTTATTTTAAAAAAGAAATTAGTGACATGACTGAAATACAATATGCCTCCATGTGATCACTTTATTTTACTGATAGTCCTGCTTTCTTTGGTTATCTAATACATTTAGCCGTTTTATGATCAACCAAACATAGTAACATACTATTATCAATGGTTAGCTAAACAGTAATTATTTAGTAAAAATAATGCACAATTTTCAAAATGTATGCTGGATATATTTTTGTTTAATCGAATATTTAAGATTTGTGCACTTCATTTGGACCGAGCATAAGCTTGTGCTTCCTCTATATTCAATATATCTTAATTTTTTTTCCCATGAGGCAATTTAGTCAGGTATCTCAAAACAGCTAAACCAAAATGAGGGTACATTATTTCATTTTGGAAAACGCAGTTGTTAAAAAGAAACAAAATGCTACTTCTGTTACGGAGGGGCAGGGAGTTGCAGTTTTGAACAAAATCTGTTGCATAAATCACAGTCTGTTTTTTATAAATTTTAGACCATGGACGTATTTGATTTTTTTAAAAAAATACTGTAGGTGGTCTTGCTGTTGGACTTAGAGGCAGTATGTTCCATAAACTTAACTGTTTTACATGTTAATTTGGACTAGAGTCTGGTAATAAAAGCACACCAGGGCCTATGAGTGCCAAGGAGGCAACAAAAATTTTGGCAGAAAAACGACGCCTTGCTCGCGAACAAAAAGAAAAAGATGAAGAAAGACTACAAAAAGAGATGGAACAAAGGTTGGCACAAAATCATCCTTTCTATGCTATAAATCTTGGCTGGGGCCCATATTCTGAAAGTCAGAATTTATGCTCAAGTTAGATGTATTATAAATTCTCAGAGTAACGGACTTTATCGCCAGTGTGAATCAGAAATGACTCGGCGCCTTCTAAACTAGTGTGGGGAGCATTTCAAGCAGACAGGACACTGGCGTGTAAATGAGCGTGTAGAGACCGGAACTCGTTCCAGGGTCCTGGGTCTCAGCAGTAGTACCCGAGTGATCATGTAAGACTCTTCCTGTTGGTATTCACTGGTGGCAGTCCCTTTCTTTGTTTCAAAAGTTTCTGTAAGTTTAAAATTTGTAAACCTGGAAGGGATACTCCCTCCTGTTTTACTAGATGTCTAATGACCCATAGGTTGCAAATACCACGTATAGTTGTACGCATTCTACCCTTGATCGCAAGGCCCGTTGGATTTGGGGCTCTGTGATGCGAACTCTGTCTACTGTTTGCAAAGAATAACTACAGTCCTGACTTTGTTTTTAAGTATTAAGTGTCTTTGAATCATAATTACGTGCTTTCTATGTACCTTTCTACGGGTTTGGGAGAAAGGAGGAGGAGACATTGTGAATAGCAAAGAAAATTACAATTTGAAGAATATTACTCATTGCTTCGTGTAAGCAGAACTAATTTGGCATTTTAAAAGCCCTGAATACTGCTCATTGTGGGCTGGGGTTTCCTCCACTGAGCACCACCAGACCCTTCTCTAAATTCCCGCTCTCACACCCCAGTGCGCGATTCGGTGTGAGCGTATGTCTAAGACAGTTAAGAAGGACTGATGATCTCTCTGATTGTGTGTGCGCGTGCCCATTTGTGTTTTAAGATGCAAAGTTGGCCACTACTTGATAGAAATCTTTTTTCTACTCCCAAGGGCTAGTTTCCCCCATTTAAAAAAGATGAAATTATACAAATCCGATGTAGTAACAACAGAGAAAACTTGGTGAATCTGGTGTAAATATAAATTGTGTACTACACACAAGCAGTTTCACTATAAAAATACACACATTGAGAGTTATTTAAATATTCTGTGTCATCAGGAAAATGAAAGGCATAGCAAAGAGAGCAGATGAAGGCCCAGAAGAAGAGTTCTCAAATTTTGAAGATGTGCAGCAACCAAAGGAGATAAAAAAGAAGGAAGAAAGTCAGGATCCAGAGGACCAGAAAGTACAACTCCAGGTTTGCTGGCTCTGCACTTTCTCAAGGGATGAGAACCAGATTCTAAAATTCAGTGGAAACCCAAAACAAAAATCTGTTTCTCCAAGATAGAAAAGGAGCAGATACAGCATTCTCTGGTTGCATTTTTACATTAGAGTCTAGCTATTACCCAATATCGCTGTGAGTCATTCTCAACCGCCCTTGGCAAAATCCTGGAATGTCTTCCAAGTGAAACAAAAGCAGAAAGCAACAAATTACAGGCTAGGAGTCCTTTAGTTTGTCTGCGTAAATAATATTACAGCTTGGTTTCAGGAAATTCAAATCACTCACACAGATGAAACATCCTATGAGTTTTCCCAGTCCTACATTCTGTGGTGACACTTACACCTGCACCCCTCTGCACACCGCCTAACAAATAAGATAAAAATGATGAATACCTCTAAACATTCAACGCCATCAAATCCATCAATAAAGAATGTCTCACTTGAGGGGCAAGGATATAGCTCAGTGATAGAGCGCATGCTTAGCATGAGAGAGGTCCTAGGTTCAGTCCCCAGTGCCGCCTCTAAAAATAAATAAACCGAATCCCCCCCCTCAAAAAAAACAAAAAAAAAGTCTCACTTGTGTACATTTAAATCAGCAGGTAAATAAATCCCTAAATAAAAAAAAACTGAGCTCAGACTGTACTCAGCTTGAATTAGTATGATAACCTAATTTATATTCCAGTTTTTGGTGTATCAGTTACATGTGTCACATAAATGATTGTATGTATTTGCATTCCTTGAGAATGTACCTTTATGAATCCTCTCGATGCTTTTGAGAAGGGTAAGACTTGGCTCCTGTTGCCTGTGTCAGTGGAAGACTACATAGAGTCACTCACATACTTTGAAACGGTAGTTCTCTGAGAACCCTGATGTCCTGGAGGAAACATGGCTTCTAAATCCTCAAAATAATAGCCTAGTTTTTACATTTTTGCTGATGCTTTAAAAACTGATGATCCATGAATGAAATAAATGAGTATTCTCAATCACAAGGTTACATTCTTTTGTTCTGGATAATGTCTTACTGTTTCACTTTTTAAACTGGTGTTCTGTGATGTCACTAAGATGTATTGAGGTTAAATGATATTTTTATACAAATTTCCTAGAAAGGCGACGCCAAAATAAAAGCTCAGGAGGAGGCTGACAAACGCAAGAAGGAGCACGAGAGAATTATGTTACAGAATTTGCAGGAGAGATTAGAAAGAAAAAAGGTAGTTTTTCTTTTTGGGGGTATTTGATTCTTTGTCTAAAACTGTCGGAAATCACAAATAAGGGATATGCTAGCCCTGATTGTTTTTCCTCTGTACTTCTTATCCAAGAAGCTGACTTCTCTCTAGAAAGGTCTGTTATGGATCATACCTCTCTCTCATGGACCACCGGTGCCATTATAATGGCACTATGCCTCAGTTTAGCAAACCCTTGGGAACGAAGCTCCTTTGAGCAGAACCACAGAACCACTCAGGTCATGGTGGGGGTTGGTGGCAGTTAGAGTTTCTTCTGAACTGGGCTGGAAGTTGTGGCAACTGAGTGGGAAGAAGCAGAAGGTGCAGGCCTCTGAGAGGCCAAGGTCTGGGCTGTTTGCAAGGTAGGACCTTACAGTGCAGCTCACGTGGCTCATCTGGGAGCAAGGAAAGGCTCTGGACCAGGCCAAGGTGCTGCATGGCCCCTCTGTCAGGAGATCAGTGACCGTGAGGAGGCCTGCAGCTCTCCTCGCCTTCAGGGAAGAAAGTGAACACTGTGGCGGGGGGGGGGGCTTTTATCCCTCCCACCGTTTTAGTAACCAAACCTCTGACGTGGTCGCATCATTGGGGTGCATTCTTTTCATTAACATCAGCTTCAGTCATGATCTGTTCAGGCCAAAATCATATTCCAAAGTTCTAATTGGTTTGCAGTATGTGCTTAGTCAAAGTACTGAATTTCTAAGTCTGCAAATCACGAGTGAGAAGTCATTTGGATTTCTGTGTTACAATAACAAGTATATCTGTCATTGCTCAGTGTTTTCTAGATGATGGTGAAACTGGGAGTAAAAGAAGGAACCCAACCTCTGGCCCGGGGTCTGTGGCTTTGGAGCAGTCACTGATACTGTCCGATTCTGGAACGTGGAAATGATCAACTTCTTCAGGACCGCTGTTTTGTTTTGAATCTGTTTTCATGTTTGAATTTTTATTTTCCTTTAGAGAATTGAGGAAATTATGAAGCGGACGAGAAAGCCAGATTCGAACACCTCAAAGGTAGTCTGTGTGCTCCTACCAGCAATGTGTACAAATTCCTGCTTCACATTCTTGCTGACTTTTTAATTTTTGCCAGTCTGGTGGTAATGAAATAAAACTATCACATTGGTGTTTCCCTGATTATTAAAAAGATGGAACATGTTTTCATATCTTCAGTTAGCGTTCATGTTTTTTTCTTGTCTGAAGCGCCTGTTTAAGTCTTTTGCCTAAAACTTTCTGACTGACTTGTCTTTTTTTATTTCCTTATTGGTAGTTCTTTAAATGTTCTAGGTATTTATACCTTCTTGGTTGTGTGTGTTCCAGATATCTTCTCCCAGTTTGTGGCTTTCCTTTTCCTAATGCTTTCTGCTGCTGCATAGAAGTTCTTGATTTTCACATCGCTGAATTTATCAATATTGTTTGATGACTAATGGAGTCAGGTACCTTATTGGCCATTTGGAGACTTGACTTCCTTTGGTGAAGTGCCTTTTTAAGTCCTTTGCTCCTGTTTCTATTCAGTCACCTGCCTTTTTCCTTTTGATCTGTAAGAATCTTTACCTGCTCTGGTTCTGAGCCATCGCAGGTATCGGCCCCCATGCTGTAGTTTGCCTCACACTCTCACAGTAACTTTTGATGAACAGAAGTTTATTTTAATGAACTCAGATTTGGCAGCTTTTTTCCCCTTATGGTTAGTGCTTTAGGGTCTGTCTCATGATAAGTATTTGTTTACCCCAGTGCCCTGTCTTTCGATGGTTTGCATGTATCTAAGGCCTTTTCTCCCCTAGAGTCTGTGTCTCTGGTATTTTGCTGATTTACAATTGCCCAGTTGTCCTTCATATCATTTTGAAAATTTAGAATAGAAATGTCGTTTCTGAAAAGTGCTGGGAGTCGTCATGTCAAAGATCATTTAGCCCACTGGCCTGAGAGGTTGTGCCTCAAGCAGCAGCCAAGAATTTTTTTAACTTATCTACCAACGGGCCACACCTCGGCTTAGTTAGGACCTCGAGTGGGCAGAGCCTGCATGCCGACCCAAAGCTGTTGTCCCTTGACTCTTATTCAGGGAAGTCTTTCATTCTCGAGTGTCTTTCCGTAGCTGAGAGACACAACTAGGGCCACCTGTCCTGTCCTCTGTAGATTCTTGGGGCCAAAGAGGCTAATATTTTTTCCTTTTAATTGAAATGACAAAAATTCAAAAAAAAATTCACCATCAATCCAGGCGTGAAGTCTGTCTTCTTCGAAATAACTGAGTCAGGATGATTGACTATTAGATGTAATCATGACTTTCCGTTTGCATTGTAGGCTGCAGATACAGCCAGCATCCAGCGTGATGCATATGAGGAGGACGAGGCGGACGATGAGGACGAGCCAGAAAGTGATGACGATTCCTTTGATGACATGCGTCCACCTGGTTTGCTCGCCTTTTGAGTTCTGTGACCGTCTAGAAACTAGCCTGTCTAGGTTTATCCAGGGGCTACTCCGCTCTGAGCTCTGTGGCTTTGAGCAAGTCACTTAACTTCTCTGTCCAGCTTCCCTGTCTGAAAAAGGGGAAGTTAATGTTGTTCTTCTAGAGTGGGCATGAAATTGCAGTGAGAGAGTCCATGTAACGCTAAGAATGGTGCCTGACTCTCCGTAGATATTAGCTGCTGCTACGCCTGTTGTTAGTTTTCAAGTTGTGCTGAGAGACTATACAGATGGCAGCTCTTTCTCAGCTCAGTGTGAGGCTTACTAGCATTTTGTAGCTCAGGACCTCACGCAGCATTCATGACCCACCATAGGTAGAATGCCACCTTCCGCCTCACTGGGAAAAATGAAAATCATGTCATGATCTGAGAGCCCTCTCAGGTGCATTGCTGAGTCGCATTCATTCCTTGGTGAGGAGGACCACTTTATGCCCGCAGTAGCAGCATTTGGCCGTGTGGCCACCCTTTATCCGGTAGCGGATATTGAACTCAAGTCGGGCACTCTGCTAGGTAGTAGGGATGCACGGCCCTCAGCCTCAAGGAACCGCAGCCACTGGGGAGTCAGACATGAGCAGTGATGCTGCCACAAGCTGATCGCATTAAGAGAAGTTTGGCCGAAGTGCAATGAGAACATAGCAGTAGGAGCAGGGCGGGTGTAGGCCCTGCCTTAGGGCGTTGGGGGTAGGTTAAGGTAGGAGGTAGCACTGCGGGTGAGATTAAAGAAAGAGGCTCATTTGGACAAGCGGCAGGGAGTGTGGTGCCCTCATTCTTCCTTGGCAAAGGAGAGAGGGCAACTTCCCTAAAGGCGGCCCTCTGTGCTTGGACGGCAGGGTGGCCATGTATCCTGGCCAGCAGCCCAGGCCATGGTTCCAGAAAGTGGGCTTGCCTCTCTAGAGTTCTGCCCCCTGATAACTCCTGCCTTCAGGCAGATGCCCGGCTCCAGCCTGGCAGGGTCACAGCCTTCACTTTGCTTGTCTTTGTTGTTGAAATTGCAGTTTTTTTAATTAGGTTTATTCATTTAGGTTTTTATGGGGGGGTGCGGAGAGAGGTAATTAGGTTTATTTATTTACTTGTCAGAGGAGGGACTGCGGTTTGAACCCAGGACCTTGTGCATGCTAAGCATGTGCTCTACCGCTTTGAGTTATACCCTCCCCCTAAAATTGCAGTTTTAATTTTGTGGCTCTTTTTTTTCCCCTGCTAGCTTTTATAAATGGCATGGATCCATCCACAACACCGAAAGCACATTTTAAAAATGTGAAGAACACTCGCAAGCTGGAGTTTTTAGATGCCACTTCTAGCCACATCTGTAAAGAGACAAAAACAGTTTTTAATTGTGACATGAAAACCTTTAGACATAAAAGTGTGAAAGATCCTTTGAGTCAGATAAAGAGTACAAGGTGAGTCACTGGGAGAGTTCAGCATAATGCACTTGAAGGGGTTATGATTAGCATTCTTAGAATGGTGCGTGAGATTACTGACTGAGCTCCTAGTTGGTACCAAACACTATGTCAAGCACTTGACTTATAGAAGCAAACTAATCCTCACAATAGACTTGCTTAGTAAGGATGAGTGCCCCCATTTTTACAGGTGAGAAACTGAAGCATGGAAAGATTATGGACCTTATTTGCCCAACATCTCACTCACTGTTCGAAGGCAGAAGCAGAATTCAAACCCAGATACACCTGACTCCAAACTGCTTTTGTTCACACTGATTAGTGTTGTCTCATAAAATCAGGGAAGGGGACATTGAGTGACTGCAGTATACCAGGCATTTTACCTATTTTAATTCTCATTGCAACTCTGGTTTGATATTAGTGTCCTCATTGTACATATGGGGAAACTGAGGGTCAGAGATTAGGTTGGAAGAACAGGAACAGATTCCTGGGAATGGAGGCTCCTCGGGGATTGTGTGAAAAGACATTAACGTACAAAAAGCCCATGAAAACAAGAGTCTGCTGAGAGGCAGCGAGGTGAGGAGAGAGCACTGGAGCTAGTAAACCCATGTCAGTTTACTGACTCCACCTTGCTGGCTGTTTCCTGGATCAGCTTGAAGCAGGGACTGGGTTCCCGGAGCCCTGCATGCTGAGCTGCTCCTAGCCCCTCCTTAGTCTTCCTGTGGGGCCCTAGGACCTGCTAGGACACAACTTGGAAACCAGTGTATTCTGTGATCTCCAGAGTCCCTTCCAGCCTTCCCATGCTATGACTCTTGAAAGTTCATTTACTTCCAAGGCATTTCTTAGAATTAAAAGGATACAGCTCCTTTCAGGACAAAGCCTTGATTTGGGAATAGTCAGGATTCTAACCAACATACCTCTTTCTAGATCCTCCACCAAAAGAACCACCAGCCGAGCAGCAAAAACTGGAAAGGCCAAAACCAGCAACACCATGGGACCTTCCAAGAGTTCACGTTCAGAGGCACAGGAGTGGATCTGTGACAAGGTTACTGACATCACCAGCGAGACAGAACCACCTATGTCAAGTATCCCTCCTGACAGCCACAAACGCCACCTGAAAGGTTCTGTGACATCCTGCCTAAGTGCTCAGCTGGCTGTGGACAACAAAAAAAGAAACAAATCTGTTTCTACTGAGTCGGGTAAGGCCTCATACCATCATCACTTTGTTTGAGAGGTAGTTGGCCTTGAACCCTCCTCCGTTTCTGGCTGTCCTGTAGCTGTCTTGGCACTGTGTAACTTTGGAGGTGAGGGAGAAGACTGGTGGGTCTAAAATCTAGGTTGATGTCCAGGAGTTTTCCATTAAGTTAGTTTTGAGAGGGTAAATGACTTGCTTCTAATTTGTATGTCCCGCATTTCCTGCCAGACATGCAAAGCAGGTTCCGTTCAAACCCCAGATCCCTCTGCGCTCCTGGTCCACCGGCTGCTCTACAGCACGCAGATAACAGGGCAGAGGCTTAGTCAGTTTTTTGGAATTACTCTTTCAACTCCAAAACCATAAGGCCTTTGTTTAGTTCTTTGCTCAAGAAGCTCTCTTTGAAATTGAGAGGCAGCTTGGGCCCGTTTGTGGGATGGGGACATTTGTAAGAGCACCAATATGTCAGCGACTCCACGGGGGCTGCTGAGGGTCCCAGGCCCACCCAGAGTGGGACCCGGAGCCCCGTTGCTGTGGCACCAGCATCTTCTCTACTAATCTTTTGTTTTTCCCTCTGCTCAGATATGTAAACCTTATCCTGTCTGCAAGAGAATCTATCCTCCCCTCTGGATTTTGACTTCCAGGCCCATCTCTCAAAATGTCTCCACCTCCTTCTTGAAACTGGCAAAGAAAATGACCTTCAAAAACAAGTACAAAAGGAAAACATCAAAATGTCATCTTAACGTATCTGAGGAGATGCTTATGTCATCTTGACTGTTGCCCACAAGCAAGGGTCCTGAGTGAAGAGTCGTTGTGTTTTCTTATAAAAATATCCATTGTCTCTCATTCTTGTGTTTTGAGACTTGTCTCTGACATGCTTGAGTGTATATTAAGGGTGTCTTTATAAAATGCTAACTCTTGAGTTTCTGATGGAATCTCTACCAAAGGAATAATTTTTATAAGTACATATTTGAAATTTCCATATAACAATTACATTAATTTAGCAATAAAAAGCTTGATCTTGAGAACATAGTGGGTTATGCAAAGACTCAAGACTGCTCACAAGAGTTTTGTTGGATTGTTTTTAATATACAAATACAAGAAGGTTGCAAAATATAAATGAGATCGGGCGCGTTCAGGGTGGCATGGCCGTAGACAAGGTTGCAAAATATAGTAAGTCACATTTTACCATTATGTATGTATATTTTTAACTTTGCCATAGTCTGCCAGCCTAGTGCATAGGCACTGATACCCCGAATGCTGGAAGTCCTAAAAGGGATGATCTTGGGACAGTTAGCATTTCTCCTGCTCTTGTCAGTGTTTCCTTCGGAAGTACGTGTTGAGGTTTATCTACAGAAACAGGAGTAGTTTTGTTGTGTACATAAGGCAGTATTTGACTGTTGTTGATGGGGTCTGCCTAATTCCTCTTAGGTGTTTACTGTGTATAATCTTTTTCTGCTTGTGCTCTCCAGGCCTGCCCTTCACTATAAACTCAGGCTTGAGATGTGGAACCAAAATACGCTTGCCTTTCTCTAGGCGCTGGCTGCAAGCGAGTACAGGAGGAGGAGTATTCTTCAGTCCTGGTGATAGGTACACGGATACACACAGCGTACGCGTGCACACGTACACGGACACACGTACTCACAGGATGTACATTCCTGGAAATCCATGGAATCCTGCTTCAGCAATTGACTAAAACTTGAATGCAAATTAGTTGTCCTAATGCTAATGAGTTTTCTGGTGCATCACAAAATTGTGTTCCTTTCTAGCCACCAGTCTTGAATTAGTAAAAGGAAGTAATTATTCTTTTTGATTCCCTAATTCTTTGCAATTCAGAGTGCTGTACCTTTGTTAGCGATTAGAGCTTGGTACCTTAGATTCAAAAACTTTTTATATAATAGGTCTTCTACATAAAAGGCAGAGACAATCATGCCGACAGATGAATTTCTGATACCGTTCTGCACAAGCGTCACATGCTGAAACACTGTTACACTTTCATATGTGTGCTCTACGAAATAAACTTTGCAAATGAAGCAAGTTTTCTTCTCATTTTAATAATAAAAAATGTACTGGTGGTGGTATAAAAGGTGACACCAATTCTCCAACTTATGAACACGGGTAACCGGTATGTTCGATAAATAGTAATCAGCTCCTCTGATGCCCTGCTGCAGCCACTGGATGATGTGAGTGTTCCACGGGGGACAGGAAGATGCAAACTTTAGCTGATTTTCCTGTACCTGTTCCAGTGCGTGTTTCTCTTTGTGACGGCTCTGACTTGTACTTGAGGCCAAGTGATTAAACTATCCTCTTTACTGTGGTTAAATTCAGGTAAGTCACCGTCCAGTGGTACTGGTACATTTACAGTGTGCAGTCGTCACCACTATCTAGTTCCAGAATGTTTTCATCACCCTCAGAAGAAACCCGTACCCTGTCAGCAGTCAATCCATGTTCCCCCTCCCCCAGCTCTTTCAAACCTCACATTTGGTGCTGGCCATGCAGGAGGGGAACATCTGCTTTTTAAAGTCTGAGTGTGCGGTGCGCGGTCAGGCAGTAATTGCGCTGTTACATACGCATCTCTGCATGACATCACTGTTACTATGCATGGCTGAACAAATGTTCTCATCTGCCTGTAATACTTAGTTTCTAACCTGGAAACATGGCCACTAGGTTTTGTGTTTAATAAGGTGCGGCCCTTGTTTATCCCCAGTGTTTGGCATCTGGTGCCTGGAGATCAGTGGCAGGTGTCCCCACTTGACACTCCGTATTGCTGGGCCACCCCTTGGAGCGGCTGAACTAGGATATTCCATGGTGTGCACACAGCCTGAAGTACCGCCTGTTGACACCGCCAAGGTGATGGACACTGACTCGGCCTACCCTCTTGCCCTAGGCTGGTGTCCTTGAACCTATCATGGGACACAGTGGTCACCTCAAATTTCCCTTCCTTTCTGGATAGTCTCTTGGTAGCCACTCCCCTGAAGAACAGGTCCCTGGCCTCTACCAGTGGACTCAAGATCAGTCCATTTCCTACACCTGTGTCATCCTGCGCACTACAAGTGCAGTGAAGCCTTTCAACAGGTCCCATCCTCGACAACCACAGAAACGCGGTGCGGAATACTGGAAGGGATGCCAGGTGGCGTCTGAAGACCCAAATCCTGGCTGAGGTGGCTGCAAGCTTGCCCAGTGAGTCTGTGCACATCGTGGTCCCTCTGAGCCCTCCTATCTAGCAGCTGGGGGGGCTGCACTCCCATGTCTGAGGGCTCCCCAGTTCTGGGGAGTCACTAACTGCAGGAGCCAGAGGGTTGAGGGGTGGGACGAGGAAGGGCAGCAGCAGCTGGTGCACAAGCACAAGGCTGGAGTCAGACCGCACGTTTCATCGGGTCTCAGTGCCCACTCCCTGCACCCTGCTGGCCTGGTCAGTTGAGGCAGATCCTGGAAAGGCCGCCTTGCCCTCCGTCTCCCTCCCCACCAATCCAGTTCCAGTGTTTCCAGGCGGGGTGCAGCTAAGAATTTTCCCGACTGTGACTAGTTACGTTGATTAGTTCTTTGTCAGGTGCTTTATAGGTATCATTCGAACCCCTCACAACAACCCAGTGAGCTGTGGGTATTCATTTTCACCCAGGAGGACAGATTGACATTTGTTCAAGGTTACACAACTAGAAAGAGGCAGACCTGATGTTTACACTCAAGTCTGATTCTAAAGCCACACCCACTACTGCTTTGGGGTGGGAACAGTGTCTTGTGGCTTGCATGGTGAGTAACATACTGTCTTTGGTGCTAGAAATAAAAGTAAATGAGTTGCTACCATTTTCTTGGGTATCTGGTCGCCCTGTTAAATAAGCATTTGTATCATCATCATGAAACGTGCCTGTGATTCTGCAAGACAGGAATTCTGTCTCGTTTTACAGGTGAGGAAAGCAGCTCAGGGAGGTTAGCTGACCTGCCCAAGGTCATAACTGGAAGGTGGCAGCACGGCCAGGATTTGAAGCTGGGCGGTGCAGCTCCAGAACCTGCCCAGTTACCCACGAGGAGGTATGTTCTGATACTCTTGATCCCTTCATTATGAGAGGGAGAAAGATCTCTGCTGAAAATTTGGTGAGTAGACATTTCCCTCCTCCCTCCCGAGTCTCAGGTTGTCACTCCAAGTGGAGCGCTGAGTGCTGTGCGTGAAGCTCTCACTGTGATGCCTCGTCTCTGCCCTGAGGGGCTCACCGGTTCCCTGGCAGCGCGCTGTCCTAAGCAGTCGGTGTAGATGTCTGCCCAGGGAGTGTCTTGTCACTTATTTGCTGTGTGACCTTCAGTCTTCTCATTTGGAAAATGGGGCAACAGTGCCAGTGCTGGCTGTGAGGACTAGATATGATGTGTACAGTATTTGCTTGAGTGTTCAGAGGGCAGGAGTCTCGGGCAAGCCTGGTGCCGGGGGACGGAGGTGGTGGCTGGGAAGTGGCAGGAAGTGGTGGAGGGTGACACAGGGAACCTCAGGCACAGTTGAGGGCCTGCAGTCTGCAGTTGTGCACCTTTTTGTCTGCAGAGCTCTTCAACCCTGGCGTGGGCCGAGGCTTTGCAGGCCGAGTAGGGAGGGAAGCGAAGGGTGACAGGGTTGAGGGATGAGAACGGTGCAAGTGATGGAGCGTAGCATCTCGGGCAGATCAAGAGGGAGAAGAGGCTGAAAGGCCAGTGGAGTCTTCGGTGGCCTGGAGGGTGAAGAACTAGTTCGGCCAGATGAGGAGGACCAGGAAGGGAGTAGCAGGGTCAGAGGAAAGGTAGGTTCGGATGCCGCGAAGGTCCAGGCTTTGCCGGTAGAGAACCAGCAGAAGTTGGGGGCATTGGAGACATGCTGAGGTCTCCCCTGGGGTCCCTTCTCCTTCCCAGGCTTGTTCCCCCTGTGCTCTGTCCCTTGGTCCCTTGGTGCAGCCTGTCACCCAGCTCCCTTGGGAAGCAGAGGGCCATCAACTCAATTCTTCACAACCCCTACTTCCTTGGGACCCCGGCAGGAGACAACCAGACTCTCATTGTTTTAAGGGTTTTAGCTGCTGATTTCTAGAGACACACACACACACACACAGAGCTGTTCCCATGCATAAAAATGCTCAGTTTCTTGCAGACAGGTTTTGACTCCTAACATGGCAAATGTTAGCCCCAAAAGGGTTCTGTCCTTTGCTTTGTTCACCTTGGGCATGAGCACCCTCTGCTCCCAACTGCCTTTGACTGGACTGTACTTTCACTGGGTGCCCTTCTGGCCTGGGCACCCACCCATCTGAGGTGATTGCAGCAGACACCTGTCTCACTGGGCCTCCAGTCCTGAAGGTACCATGTGGCCTCGGCAGGCTGGCTGCCCAGGAACCTGAGCCCCAGAGGTGTGGCCGTGATCTGGAAGTTACCTCCACCTCTGCCCACACTGGCCCTGAGCCCCCCACCCCTAATGGAGGTGCATGGGCCCAAACAAGCACTGCCCACAAGGGGGAGTGAGTTCTCCTGAAGGCCCGACAGTGGAGGGCACGTCAGTGTTCACCGTGGCTCGGCTCCAGAGGGCACAGGAAAGGGGCAGCCAACCAGAGAGGGACAGGATGATTTCTTGATGACACACTTCAGCTGCAGTCCCCCTCCCACCCCGAAACCCCCGGCCAAAGGAAATCAGTCTGCTCCTTTTAAGGGATATGAACACCTGGGAAATGTATATTTGGGGTCAAAGTGGGTTTTGTTGTTATTTAACTGGTTCCAAGGGCTGCTATAGGTTTGTTTTATCTTGTTTTTACTTCCTATGTTCCATGTAATTGCACTGAGCTGAGTATGTCTTTGAAGGAAGGGGAAAAAGAGTCATTCAGGTTTGTGGATCAGCAGGTAACACCTCAGAGCAATTCCACTAGGCAGAATTAGAGGACAGGAGGCAAGTTATTCATATGCCGCTTTATTTCTGTAAGGATACACTGAAACGTTAGATGATAATAGCTAATGACAAAATGTAGAAATGAGGCATCAGCTTCTCTAACCACTCCTACGAGAATGTTAATATGTACTGTCATTACATGTGTACTCTTGATGTCATCTCCTTATACTAGGTCATATAACAATGTGGATAGAATAGTCAGTGGGTGATCCTGCATCTCAGGTAAGCACTATGTGGAAATCCGGTTCTGCCTGTGAGGACGGCGGCCTCCCCACTGCCCCAGAGATCCAGCTAAGCTCTTGAGGAACAGTCCTAAGAATCACAAGAGAAGGGACTTGGCGGGCCTCTTTAACACACGGACAAAGACAACTACTATGTTACAAGGGATTCAACTTGGCGCTGTTTGGAAATGTCGTTGTATCCGTGTCAATGACAGGCCTGGCGCCTGCTAACCTACCCCTCTCGAGTTTTACGGTTAACTTCTGTAGGATGAATTTCAAAACTGCAGGAACATCTGAGGGGGCTAAAACATTTTCATGCAAGTCTCCAAACCCATAAACTATGTTGCTATTAATTAAAACAAAAAGATTGTTAATTAAAAAAAACGAAGGACAGCTGGGTTAGTTTTGTTACGCTTCCAGAAGTATTTGCTGTGACGATGTTCTTCTGAAACAGGCTCGTTTTCTCAGATCTGCCTACACTTTCCAAATCACCTGCATGTTCCGTGCCTGAAAGTAGGAACGCTCAGGAAACACGCCACACGGGGGAGATCAAACGTTAGTACAGGGAAAAGGTCAGTTTAGAACTTACGGCTAAATTCGTATGTTAAATTTTCTGGAAATTCGTATTAGTCGTTTGAAAGCACAAAAGAACAGAAGGAAGGTTTTGATGAAGATAAACCATGCAATTCGGTAAGTTCTTTCCGCTCACAGAACAGGGTGAGCAGCCGAGTTGGAGCAGCCGCTGCAACTCTTGGGTGTCGTGCGACGACGACACGGTGGGTCCCAGCTGAGCCACGAGACGCATCTCAGTGGGGGCTTTATCTCTTAGGCTTCTCGCTTACATCACTAAGCAGCTAAATGGTCAGCACTTTTCTGCTCTATGATAAACATGCAGAAGAGTCAATCTAGCTAAGTGTTCCTTTTTTAAC